ATGCATTCAAGAATATGCATCGATAAATAGATATTACTTATAATGAATTCAGGTCCATAGGTTCTTTCTATATTTATAGACATATCCCTTAATCGTTCTTGTGCTTCTTACAGATCGTCTTCTGTAACAAATCTAGCAACCAATAAGTTACATGCCCAAACAAAATGTCCTAAAATCTTTTTATCATTATCATCTAACATGTCCCATAGAATTATTGTTGCATATATCATAATGAAGGTCTTACATTGGTCAGCAATGAGCTTTGAAAATCCTTCTCCAATAGTAACCTTTGGTAGGATTTGACCAATATTAGATGGAGGTTGAACACTATCCATCCTCCTTTGTATTATATGAAGTTGCTCAGAATTTAGCTTATTTTCTTTAACAAATATGGATTGAATTATTCATTTGGCGACTTCAAGGAATAGACAATGCATAGGATCTACCACTACAAATCTAATTGGATTCATATATGGAAGACGAAGTAATTCAGACTATCGTACTCCATGCTTTTTGAAATAAGCATCTCTTATTCCTCTGGTGTCACATCTAAGTTATTCTTGAGCATATTCTCTATGTAACTGGGGATCTGCTTATTCTGATAACCATTGTTCATAATCTTGCATACCTCCATAGTGAGTCTTTTTAAATGTCTCACTATATCAGCTTCTTTTTGGGCACCTGTGGCATTTCATCACTAAAGATCCATGTCCAAATAACTTTTGTGTAACTGGAATATCAGAAGAACCTACTATTATTGCAACTCTTATATCGAGCCTATCCTTATTTTCATATGTTTCGGGAACTCTCCATTCCTCCCATAATTCCTTAAGGTCATCAACTATCGGTAATAGATAATGATTAATTTGATTCTTATCGGCTTCCTTAGGTCCTAGAAGAAAGTCTAAATAAATTATATTTTCGGGCTTATTTCTTTCGGTCCTAGGGAGATTGCATATCGAAGCAAGCCGTTTGGAGTTTATATAAACTCCAAACAGCTTAAATTAGACTACTATAGTCTCAGGTGTGACGTGCATTTTGCTTTTAGGTTACACTCAAGTGACATGCATTTTACTTTTTAGGTCACACACCTGGGACAGTTATAGTCTACATATCGGGTGCTATATAGGTTACATTTGCATCATCACTTAAGAACTGCTGAGACATGCGCCTGCGTGATGTGCATTTTGCTTTTTAGGCTATACTCGAGTAACATGCATTTTGCTTTTTAAGCCACACACCTGGGACAGTTATAGTCTATACATCGGGTGCTATATAGATTACATTTGTATCATCACTTGAGAACTGTTGAAACATGCGCCTGCGTAATGTACATTTTGACTTTTTAGGCCGCACTCAAGTGACGTGCGTTTTACTTTTTAGGTCGCACTCGAACTGACATATATCGGGTGACGATGCATTCAATCATATATCGTCATTTGTAAGCCGATGTGAGGGCTATGTCCGAACTGGGCACGTATTGCCCTAGCTTTCTGATTAATTCCTCGATGAGGGCCAGAGTTGAGGCACGTAGTACCGAAATAGTTCCACTTGAAAGGTCCTGATGCAAAACATAGTGAAGCATCTATTCCCACCTGGAAGGTTTTGGGATGACAAAAAATATATCAAACCTGAGACACGTAGTGTCGAATTGTTATTATATCTAGTTATACACTAAAGCATCCGATGATAAGGTACGTAGTGCCGAATTGTTATCTATTATAATACTCGAAGATGAGGCATGTAGTATCGAATTGTTACCCTTACTTGATGATATGTAAAAGCAAAAAATTTATCTTATCTCTTTCCTTATAATATTCTGCCTTTGCGTATCACTTTTTTTGTATCTGAATTATACTATCCGATCCTTATTTTTGGTAATACATAAAAGCACGATTTTCTCTTACCTCTTTCCTTATAATATTCTGCCTTTGCGTATCACCAAAAGTTTATTATATTTTTCAGTTTTGAAAGCTCTTCTCGCATAGTTAGTAGTTCGAATATTGCTACTTTACATTAGTGAAGCTAGTATAAGATGTTAAAAAAATCAGGTCATACTTATATGTACTCTTTTGTGTATTACTTTTCTGTTAACTTTTGCATATCACTTTTTTGATATCTACCTGATGATACGTAAAAGCTCAATTTTTTCTTACTATTGTATATCACCTTTTTTGACATTTCATGTCAGCTCCGCTGATACCTACCTAATAATATGTAAAAACTCAAATTTTTTCTTACCTTTGCATATCACTTTTTCGATATCTGTTTAATGATATATAAAGTTTGAACCAGCTTCTAGCTGACATAGGCTCCGCTATTACATTTCACTTATCTGAAATTCCATCTCGATTGAAATTATACAACACAAAAATAATTATATCGCAAAATCATAGTAATATTATGTAATATAACAACTTACTTTACCTCATATATCAGGTTGTCAATTCGCGTGTGATCTGATGATAAAAGTTAGCCACATGGGTAAAAAAATATATCTGACGATGCATTCAGTCGCGTGTTGTCATTTGTGGGCCTGATGTGAGGACTAACTTTTTCAAATAATATAAGTAAAATACATACTCTATAGTATTATTTATATCTAAAGAAATTGATTCTTCATCACTTTGAAGAAATTTTATAAGCTTTGCTTTTACGTCATTTTTAATTTTCTGCCAATTTTGATTAATATCATCTTGAGAACTCATTTTGTATATCGCATAGAATATTTAATAGAAAAAATAATATTATCGGATACACATTGTCAAGTATATCGTGAAAATGCTATCTAACTATGCTATTGAGTATGTTGTCAAATCAATTTCGCTCATGCTCAAAGACATAAAAAAGTGAGGCAACTTCCATTTTTGTTATATATATTACTGAAGTTACCTACCATGACCACATACCCGAAAACGTATCATCGAGCATTAATTTTTGATTTGAATTTTTCTGCATACTTATTATAAGAGGTGACAAAAACCCCTTATCCAAAATATGCGACTAGTTGATATAGTAATATCTTCCTACTCAGGATATCCTACTTAACTGGATTATATTATTTTGAAAGATTATGCATATTCAATGAGAGCTAAAGAGTGATTTTTAATTCTTTTTTATGGGAAGTAGTAGGGACCTTCATTTTAGCCTCGAAATTTTGTTTATATTCCAAGAAATTGACTTCATTTATGCTTTCTCGTTCTTTTTTCCAGTAATTAATATTATCCTAAAATTCAAAGGCAATCTTGGTTTTCTATTCATCAGGAAATTTTTAAGGGTGAATAATTTCATAAGTTTTCAGAATGTAAAATTTCCGTAAATTTTCGTAAATCTTCAAAATTTTTTGATGTAAAATTTTGCGAAAATTTTTGCAGAAATTTTCGAAATTTTTTTACATCAAAAGATTTCGTTAA